TGACTCTGGCTATGAGTGTGAGTCAGTGTGTCTGTGCATGTGTGTGCCTGGCATTTAACCGTTAGATAAATGTTGACGAGGTCAATGGGCGCCAAGCGGAAGTTATAGTCGGGCACAAGTCGTTCCACGACACGTACAAATAAACTGGAAGCTGTTTTGGGGGAAGAGCCCCCAGACATAAGCCCCGACCGCCAGTCAACTTTGGCCCATTAGCGGAAGGCAAATGGTATTGGCGGGACGCTAGGAGGCACAAGGAGGCTGCCTTTAGCTGCACTACGTGCCCGCACCAATAATCTCTGTCAACATCAATTTGCCCGGCCGAACAACTGAAACTAATTAAATGGTGTCCCATAAATTGAACATTAAAGCAAATTTATTGCAATCCCGAGCCAGCTTCCAAATCGAACTTATTGCCAAAGTCGGGAGACGTTTAATAAACTTTGTGGCAGCGCGAACGTGTCGCGATCGTTGCCTAAAGCCGGAATGTGATTTATTAGGGTGCTTCTTGAATGGCGACCAGGATTGCCCAAAGGAACCGGGACGTCTGCCAGAGGATTTGGCTGGAATCAGAAGACAAAATTTAATCAGGAAAACTCTTTATATCCGTATCACGTTCAGGTGGAGTCTTACCGAGGTAACTAGCATTTTCTTCAATATATTATTTTTTTAAATATTGAAGATTTTGAAAAATACCGACTCACAAAAATCAATTAGCAACTTGAAATTTTAAAATGAAAAACCTCTATAATGCAATAATTTAAGAAGGGCCATTAATTTAATCGGTCTTAGACTTTTTATTTTAAATTCTGCTCTTTTCTATTCTCTTTCATTTTGCTTGATTTTGGCCACTGCCTTTGATTTGGGCTCCCGGAGTTAGCTCAGAATTGGCTGCTTCCTTTGGGCTCCACTGCTAAACAACAATTTGTGCTAACGATGTCCGTGAGCAATGAAAGAAAAATATTACCAACCCACTCACCCCGAAACGGCAGCACGTGTCTGTTGTGATCCATGAGGTTTGGCTAGGTTCTGTTTGTCTTTTTGTTCGGGCTTGTATTTTGTTCACATGTCGCTGCGGGCTTTCCACTCTTGATTCCCATATTCTGGTAGATGATTTATACATTTTTGTTAAATTTTTCTGTTGATTTTTTAACCAACCATAACCACAGCTTGTACTTAAATGTATACCTGGAGGCAAAGCTGTCTGAACGGGTTCAATCTGACTTTATCTTCGCAAGTGCAGTCTGTAGTACCAACAGCTTTCTCATCCGAGCGACTGTCAATTATCTTTGGGTGACAGTTGTTCCCGATTCTCTTCAGTTTTCATGTAGGAAAAAATGCAAGATATTTTTTATTTTATTTTTTTAGGGTCTATACTGTCTAACCGTCTCTGTTGATTGTGTGTTATTCTAGTTGCTTCCGCTTTTGTTATTGCGGGCGCCGCCTGTCTGTCTGTCTTGTTATTGGATTTAACGAAGTGCACTGCATAACGCGCATACGCCATGTGTGCTTATTCCCAGGCTGGAGTTTTTTATAAAGTCGTCGCTTTAGTAAGCGAAGTGTTTGAGAGTAAATTCTTTAAATTTGCTTTAAAACATTTTGAATTTAAACACAGCTTGAAAAATAATTAAAAAATGAAGATATTGTATAAGGTAAATAATTTTTTAAAATATTTATCCTTTAAATAAATTTAAAAAGAGATGTTTTTCTTTTCGCACATGTTGTTCAACTACGGCACATCACGCATACGCCCTGTTTTCTATTAATAAAACGTTCGCCTTCTGCTCTCAGCTGCCTGCTCTTCACAGCTTGATGCATTCCCGTGCGGTTTTCTTTCTGCGAATTCTACGCAAGGATGCTCCTGGCTGCTGGTTAAAATTGAAAGACAGCCAAGCCACATTTCATGGCCCCGCCGCTGAAACGTCTGTTGCTCAACCGCCCATCGTCATCTTCATTCTGCCGCCAAACGGGGGGAAAACATTGTCACGTGGTTTTCGTATTTAGTGGTGTCCACCTGCTGTTTTGCCTGTGCTCTGCTTTTTACCTATCGCCACAGAAACTCCTGCAGCTTTTTCCTTTTTTGTGGTGACTGCAACCACTCCAGCAACTTCCCATCCTTGCCAGTGCAATAAATTCGCCAGCCCGAGTTACGTTTTGTGTGCCATTGTCGTAAGGCTTTCCATTGTGCCACAAAAAATACTCACACTGAGTACAAAATACGACTTGCTTCAGTCGCTGTACGTCCTTCGCCCGGGTGGGTGTTGTATAGTTATCCCAATGTGTCCTTCCCTGTTGCCATGCATACAATATACTATTTGTTGTCGTAGTTGAGTCGGCATTGTTTGGCTTGTGTTGCCACTGCGACTACTTGGGCTCCCTTTGTTGTGCAGGGAAATTGAAATAAATGTATGTGTAAATGCGTCAAAATTAAGTTTATTTCTTTTTCGCTGGCGTTGCTTTTTAAATGGTTTGCCAGTGACAAGTGTCAATTAGAAAAAAAGTTCAATTACATTAAGCCAAGTAGGGAGAGGAACAAACAACGCCAACAACAAGTGGCAGCATTGTATAGGCATCGTATCCATGGAATATCTAGAGAGTCATTGTCAGTGTCGTTGTTTGTGTTTTCATCCTTTTGTGACGAAGACAAAGACGAACAACAGACGGAATGAGGAGGCGTGCCCGACTGTAATTGGGATTGGGGCAACTTGGGCATAGTTGGGAGACACAGGACCATCATCCAGGCACACAAATTGGACGAAGGCTTATGCAGAGTCTTATAATCATGCATGGGAGTCTGTGGAGGTTATATATTTAGTTTCTTAAGCAAGGGATTAATGATGTATTTATCTTAAATTCGCTTTGAGCAGATTGTTAATAGTTAAATGGTTATTCCTAACATTCATTATTTAAATCAAATTATTGTGGTTCTATTCTGGAATTCCAAACAGCAGGATGCTTGATGAATCATTTAAATTCCAGTTTCCATTGACAAGCCCAATTAACTAGAGATCCTGGGCAATTTCGAATGTTCAACGGTATAACTAAAATTGTCTCTTGGAGAAGTCGCTTTAAACTTTGACAGCTTACTGTGATGACACACGTCATTTCATGACCAATCTGCTAATGAAATAAAATATTAATTAAGGAACTTCTGAGGTCGGGCAGCAGTCAGTGCCTGAGAGGAGCATAGTGGCGGACCTAAGCTTAGGTTCATCAGCAGACATTTCAGGCTGTCGTTTGGGTAATTGTATTGTTTGGCATGCAATTAAGCAAATGATGAATGAATCATTCAGCGTCAGATAGATCCCGATGTCCTGACCGCAACCATTCTGTCTGAAGCCTCGGCCACTTGTCACTGCGCCTTGGGCAAGCGCGTTAACATGGCGTATACGCAATAATTTAGTGCAGACCAAACAATTCCCTCGCAGGAGCGTCGTGTTTAGTCAGCAGACAGGGGCCAGCAGACACTCGCCGGCGTTTATAATTTGATCATTATTTATATTTAAATAGGTTCTGCCCTCCACTACGCACCTAGGACACATCTGTTCGCTGCTCATCGCAGTGCCTGTTGTGTTTTTTCCCCCCCGATTCCGCTTGCTTTGTTGTTTTGCTGGCCTGGCTAACAACAAATTGAAGGGAAATGATTCCATTTCATGCTAGATTAAACATGTGTCCACATAATTTATCGATTATTTATCATGTGGTCTGCTACGGGTGTGCTCCGTGTGGACAAAGCGAAGTGAAGTCGGAGGCCTCAGGCCACCGGCAAATGTCTCTGTGTGGTCTAATGGTTGCGGGGGGATAAGTGGCAGAGGGGGGCGCCCCATTGCGTAGGCTTTGGCGACCACATCGGCCGCACAAGTGCAAAATTAGAAACAAAAGCTTCGCCAAAGGCATTTAGCCTTTGCAGGACCAAGTAGAGTTCGGTGTCGACTGCCAATGAGGGCGCATGTCGTTGGACATGTACGAAATACCCTAAGAATATAGTCTGACATATTCTGTCCTTCAAACTTGAACTAACACAAATTCTCAAATCAATAAAAACAAGATTAATATTTTCGAAATAATTTCCTAGCATATGGACATATGGAGTACTATCCTGCATCCTCCCTTTTTACATTCATGGACTAGGGTAATTAATAATTCGAGTTCCGAATCTCATACCGTCCGAGTTTTTTCCCGGAAAATTTTTACATGCCGGACGCATTCGCCATTGCACTTTTACCGCATAAACACACGCATACACACACATGCCCAGACCAGAGACTAACATGAAAATGGCGGCCATTTTGTAATCCGCATGTGGCTGGGTAATCACCCCTAAGCCTCTCCATGCCACTGTCCCTCCTGGATCCCCTGGTCCCGTCACTGAAACGTGCGACGGCTTTTGCCGGGTTTACTGATATTTACTTTTTTTCATTGCTTTGTTTTTCAGCATTATGTGGTCGCTTGTCGCTGCATTTCCATCCGAAATTCCATCTCTATCTCTCCCTGCATCACCAACTCTGTATTCAGGTTGTGATTTTGTTTGCCGATTTTCGGCAGTTTTTGGCTTTCATTTTTCGTACCCGAAACTGCCGCAGATCGATCGATATTTTAAAGCTTAGCCAAATGGTGCGGAAGGAGGAGAGGGAGCCCTGGTCAGCTTTTGGCTAATTACAATGGAATGAGATCGGGGCTTCTTGGTTAGCCAAAGAGCAGCCACATTTTTCATAGGAAAATTGAATGGCTGCCAACAAATATGAAATATTCCCTTGCTATCTGGCACAAACAACTTTATCAAAATTCGGGCAACTTCATAACAGAACCTCCCGCTTCATATTTTTTTCGCTTTACGTATGTGCATTTGTTGAACAGTTTCTGACAAATTGTTGCCGCAGCTACTTGAAAATCAATTTGCAGCTAAATTGACTTCCATTTGGAGTCAAGAGATTGCCAGCCAGCCAAACTTGCCAACTTTCACCAACTCCATCTCATGATATTTCTCCTCTTGCCCATTTCAGATGGCGAAATCCTGCGCGTGCTGGTGAATAGCTCGGCCCAAATAAAATGCGATGTGGGCTCCAGCTTGCCCGATGACAAAGTGCTGCTGGTTGTTTGGTACAAGAATAATTTACCCATTTACAGGTAGGTCAATCCGCGCCCAATGTCTGTATCTATAGAAGGCTCATAATCTACATCTCAATCTGTTCGACAGTTACGACACCCGTGGCGCCCATGCAGGAACTCCGTCGCATTGGAGGGACGAGGAGGTCCTCGAGGATCGGGCCATCTTTCGCACGCACAAGGAACCGGCGGAATTGATTATAAATCCGGTTAAGGTAACCCCGTCGCTCCACTGCACCCTCATCTCGAGCGTCAACAGCGTGGCGTTTTATAATTGGAATTTCATTTCAGGAAAAGGATGCGGGTAACTTTCGCTGTCGCGTGGACTTCAAGCTATCGCAGACCCGCAACAGCAACGTCAATTTGGAAGTTGTTGGTGCGTATATCCATAACCGAATAACGTCAAGGACCGAATCTATTTTGAGGACTCTCCCTTAAAATATTCAAACAAAAAAGAGCCACTGAATTAATCTCGAAACAAAACATTCGTCAACATTTCATTTTCTTTAAGTTTTAGAATAGACTGTATAAATCAAAACCTAAAGCAATCGATTGCCCGGAGAAGCATAAAATATGAAGCGAAAAATCAAATACCTTTCTTTTTGTCAGAACAAATCTCAATTAAAAATTTTCCACTTCAGCCAGTTTCAATGAAAAAATGATAAAATATGTACATTGTTCGTGGATATAAAGTCAACAGTCTCATAAATAAATAAATACGCCAGCCAGAAACGATTATAAAAGCAATTAATATTTGTTTGAAACGTACACAGAGAACCGAACGAGTTGAACATAAATTAGCCGAAATGATTTTAGGTTAGCCGCAAAACTTACAATTTATTATGCGAGAGCGTATAAATACAAGCGATATAAATATATTTATATTTTCCTATGCATTGTTGTTACAATTCAAAATGGTTTCTGGTCAGTGGCTGTCAAATCTTTTTGTAATTGAACAGGGAAAATGATTATTAAAAGCGCTTGCACTTAACAAATGACATTTGGTTTTCCTTCACAGTGCCGCCCATGCAGCCGAATATCTTCAACGAGCGCCGCCTGAGAATCGATTCCAGGGCGGGTCCCTACGAAGAGGGCGGAAGCCTGGAAGTCACCTGTGTTGTCTACGGAGGTAAGTCACGGAAATGCTAATCAAAATGCTGAATAAACGGATGTGGGCCAGCAGAATGCCAGCCGAAATAAAATATTAATTGTAGCTGCTATAAAATGCAATCAATAATTAAACTTTACAAGAGACTGTAAAAACATAAAAGTATCCGGCACGAATACAATCAAAAATTAAAATCGCGCCAACAAAAAATAAGCAAAAGCCCCGAGGGGCACCTAAGCTTTGTTGGCATGCGAACAATAGCAGGATATAAACAAGAAACAATAAATGAGGTAGAGCTCAGGAAAGTTCAATTCTAAGAAAATGGGAGAAAACAAAGGCAGGCAAGGGAGGAGGAAGTCAAGTTTATTTCTCAAACGTGTCACCTTTGCTAAAGGATTTAAAGCTACATAATAAATAAAAGAAATGAAACAGAAGCACTCAGATTGTGGTTTGGGTGTGTCCTAAGAAATACTTTTTCTTCCAAAATCGATTTGGGTCGGAAAATTACTTAAAGAACTATTAAATTTGCTTTTAGTCTTAGGGGAAGGGTATAAAAAATATTAAATTCTCTTTGCAAAGACTGATTAATACCAGCATATCCTGGTTAAACACCGCCTTAAGCCCACAACCCTTGAGTCAATTGCTGTTAATGAAAACCAAAATAAAGATTGTACAGTCGAATAAAGTGACAACTGAAAGGCCAGAGAAATACGAGGCTGGCAGCAATCCTTTAGTCAAGGATGGGGACGGCTACGAGACGATGGAGTGGGAAGGAGGCGAGAGCGCAGTTTCCGCTCAAAAGCCGTCACAGTGCCTGACATAAGTATGTCAGCCGGGAACAACAATCGCGTGCTTTATCGCTGCGTACTCCCCTTTGTTTCTGGGTCTGGGCGGAAGCGAAACCACTTTGAATGGTTTGACATGTCAACGTTGACATAAAATAAATCACCAAGCAAGCAAACTGCACTTGAAACTGCTCGGGTGACTGTTAACTGGTCAGTAGTTTTCTGGGCGGAGTTGGCGGGGAGCCGTTCGCTGGGGACGAGGGAGACTCGCTGTGGCACAGTCGGAGTTGGAGGAAAAAAAATCGGAGAGCAGGAAAATTGGGCACTCAAAATGTTGTATGTGCCAATTAAATGGGGACAAGGAAAATGTTGCCAATGTACAAATGTGAATACATACGAGCGGGGAAATTGTGGGAAAAGGGGCGTGGCAAGTGAAAAAGCGGACAACCAAGTTGTTGACAGGGGAAAAGGAAGTCAGTTTATGTTGGCAAATGAGCGAGGTGGGGGCGGAAAGCAATTGGAGTAGTTGAAACTTGTGCCAAACGAGGAACGAAAGGAAAACAATGTGTGAGACCCTGTGAGTGTGTGTGGTCAGGCTCGTTGACAGTTAAAAGGAACAAATTGATCCGAGTTGTAACCAAAAAGTCCTGCCGCTAGTTGATATTGCCAGTAATATATCGACCAGGCTTTCAGTTCTTAGTATAATGAGTAGAGCTTATGTTACAAAAAGTTTAAACATTATATAAGTTAGTAAATGGTTCTTTTATTCCTATTTTTTCTGGCTAGTTATATTAGGAATTCTGGCTTAGTGAGAAATTGAAAACTCAAAATACCAGCCTTTAGTTAAGAACCTTAAACAGAAGGCGGAAATAAATTACAGGCATTGCTGACATTATGCTCAGCCTGGCACCATCTCCATTTCCATTCTTAGGCGTTTCGGGCTCTGGCTCTGGTGTGGTCAGGTCTTTGGCATTCAACATGCAATGTCCATTACAGAAATTGCAATTCTGTGGCCAAAACAAAAAGGCAACGGGGCAAGGGGCATAAAGTGCTGAAAAAGTTGCCACTTAAACAAGTGCAATCAGCAGAAGTAAGTCAAAAGCGGCTAGCGATGAGAAAGGAGCGGCACGAGATGGAAATGAAAGTATGGGAGTGGGTTGAGTGGGTGGAGGCTATCCAGTTTGTGCTTAAGAGTGTGCGAAATCGACAAAGGAGCAGTAAATTTTATTGCCGGCTAGGAGGTGGGCCACAATTGCAAATGAGCGCGACACGCCAGCCCCGAAAAATGCCGGAGAACCGGGAACCGAAATGAAGTTATAAACCAGCACAGTCTGTGTGGGTAGTAAAAATTACCAATCTACCACCGCAGCCTCGTACCATTTCCCATTTCCCTTGCTCTTTGGTCTAAATCATAAAGAATATACATTGGAACGGGGGGACAGCCATTGTGCGCCCGAATTGTGGGTTACTAAAGGGAAGGCCATGGGTTTATGTGGCTACTAATGCATAATATTTCGCGTTGCCTTATTTTGCACGTCATGAATTTTGCACACGGTGGCTCCTTCCCTGACTTCATCGCCCTTTCCAGCTTGCAACTCTCTGGGGCACAGAGTACACATAGTGCCTTTGGAGTGCCACGCCGCATGAGAAGACATCAACTAAACTGAAAGTCAAATATATGTCTGACATACAAATCTCTTTTTTTTTTTTTTAAACGTTGTGGAGTTTTTATGTAAAAAAAAGATGACTTAAAAAATAAAGGAAAAATAGTAGTAAATTTCCCAAGAAGGATTCTAACATTCCCGAGAACATATCGCATACCCTACCTACAAGCCAAAATGGCTTTCTTTTTTAGTTCTGTGTGTCAAACGGAAGTGCAGGCGTTTTCCACTGTTGCCAAAGTGAACGTGGGGCATGTTGCCATTGTTGTTGCTATTGCCGTTGTTCTGCCTAGAACAACCGACTACAAAATTGTGTGCATTTTTATAAGAATTTCTCCCTTTGCTTTTCTCGTGTTGTTATTATTATTATTACGACTAGGGGTGTTGTTGGCCACATTTTGGAGCACGGAAGTGCAACAATAAGGGGCCAAGCAACAACGCAAGTTATTTTCTAAGCCAACATAAAAAAATAAAAATGTAAAAAAAACTTTGGAGAGAAAAAAGGACTTAAAGAGAAAAAGCTGAAACAATTTCTTGGAATTTTAGGTAACTATTTTAGCTAAAGAGTAGGTCTAGTGTCTATCTTAAAATTTAGGCAAGACCAATGAGAATTGCACGTTCGCTATAACATAATTTAGTCCTTTAAACTTGTGCAAAATTTTGAAATTTATTCCTTTAGACAAGAGGCCAAATGGCAAAGAGCAAAATAAAGGAAACAACTGAGAGGGGAAGCACAGGAAAAAGAACTAAATAAACAAAAAGTATGGCAAAGACAACAATATAAAATATATTTATGTGGCGTGGCAGAGCGTCTCTCGTCTGCTTCTTTGTTACCATCAAGAGTCCTAAATTTTGTTTCTGTTTCTTCTGTTTCTTAAGTGCTTTGTTTGCCAGGTCCTTCGCCCACTCTACCCCACCCGATTCGGTGCAGTGTACCTCTTTCTCCCGAGACAAATCTAACGCCAAAGCCAAAGCAGATGCACAAGATGCAAAAGATATGCAAAACTAAACAAGCAAATATTTCAGCATTGCATAACTAAGGCGCATAGTGCAACTTTTTGTGTGCACATGTGGGAGGGTCTCCATTTCAGTTTATAATTTTTCTGGCAAAGAATAAGCAAATGATATATTTAAGAATATAATAGCTGGGTTACACGATGTATTTTTTAAACCGTAAGCAATTCATAAAAATGTCAAGATATTTAAGTGACACAATGATGCTAAAATTTAAGACACATTAGAAATACTTGTATTTGAATTTATCTCTCTGTACTTTTTTGCAAACGGAACAATAAGCAACCAGATGAGGGACTTGGCTAACGTATGTGCAGAAGTCCATAAGTGAGTCGGACTTGGCAAGCAGCGGCTTTAAGTTTTCCTCAAAGGAAACGCTAAAAACTGGCACGCATTTGAATGCTGCCGCTCATTAGGACACGGGTGGGTGGATGGGTGGTGCTGGCATGCCAGGTGGACATGGCAAAGAAATGCTAATGTCGCTCTAGCCTCAGTTGCCTGGCACAAAACCCCGTTTTTTGCCGTATGCTCTACAAATGGCAAAGCACTTGACAAAAAAGAAAGAAATAAAAGCATGAAGCGTGGTCTTTAAAGAGGTTTAAATACCCTCAGCGAAGAGACATGGTCATAAAAAAATAATCTTCATAATTATCTGGCCCTGAATAAAAATAAAACTTTTGCTTGACATTTTTTCAACTTTCCGAAATTAATTTCTTTTACAATATGAAGCAATATTTAAGTCGTATACCTTCAGGAAGGATATAGCCATAGAGGTTGGAACTTAGAAACTGAAAAGAAGAGTTGGAAAAAAACTAGTTCAAACTTTGAGTGTGTTCGTTTGCAAGGTAAACGCAAGTCAGCTACATGGGTGTGTGCCACCTTATGTTGACATTAAAAAACAGGAGACTCCAAAAGAAGTCTCTGTAAAAAACTTGGCAGAGACTTAAAGCTTTAAATGAACTAAAAGCCTGAAATAAAATATATGCCTTTAAGCAATTTCAAAGCTTGAAAAAATGCAATTCTACGGAAGAGATTCCGGGGAATTAATCTTTGACCATTTTTTTGGTTAAGTTCCTTTTTTGCATTGTTTTGGAGTCGAGGCTAATAAATCACTGGTAACCATTAAGCCGCCCTGCTACACATGCGCTAATCTACTCCAGCACAAGCACAGGCACAATGACACATATACAGACAAGGACACTCCCTCAACCACACACACGCTGGGAGAATTCTGCGAGTAGGTGAAATATTTTCATAAACAACATAAAACTCGACCAAATGGCAGTTATTAATCAAAGTAATGTGCGTTTACCTCTCCGTAAATCCGTCCGTCCGTCCGTCCGTATGCATGCAAACCCAAATGGAAATCTATATATGCCTGTGCGACACATTTTTCAAACGTATCAAGTGCAGTTTTTGGCCCATCCGTGGCTTAGTTTTAGTGAATTCCCAGGTGGATTTAATGGCACTTGTTCAGTCGCATTGCTTTTTATGGCCGCCCATCAAGCATTCTGCGCTATAACTTGGTAATAATAGAAAAATATACAACAAACTTGTCGGAGAATTTATTTCTGTCAGCTCCTCACACTGCGAACAATAGTTATCGGGAATTATCGACATCAGATTATATTTAACTTCCGAAATAATTCAATAGATAATCCATTGAAGAAGCTATTTTGTTAGCGAATTAGTTTTCTTCCAGTGCATACCCTCTGCCTTTGACTGAGTGACCGACCACCCGTTGCTATTAAATTAATGTGCGCTCATATACGCACACAAAAGCTAATTTCAGCGGTTGATTAAGTTGAAGTCGTTAAAAGCGACCAAGTGCCGCACGCTGCGTATGAGTAATGTGGTTGTGCGATTGTGTGTTGGCTTAAGTGGCCCGCACTCCAAGCAATTGCACCACCGGTGGCAAAGGCTAGTTAACAAGACTCACCAGGCTAACCGAATTAGAGGTTCTAAGGACAGATTATGGCGGGCTTCTTAATCAAGGTAATCGTTAATTTTCGTAATAATGAGTGCGAGGACAGTCTTGTCATCGTTGATTTGGGAAACATTGGGAAACACTCGAAAAATGAAATTTCTTTTTATGGTTACAAGTGAAAATCAATTAAAAAGGTTGTTTATCAATAAATATATTTAAATTTCATTTTTTAGGTTCCCCACCGCCAACTGTCACCTGGCTGATGAATGGGCAGTTACAGAACAGCGTTGTTGATTACACCTACGACGGCACCATCAACAGCAAGCTCGTGGTGCGAAACGTGTCCCGAATCCACCAACATGCTGTCTACACCTGCCAGGCTAGCAATTTCCACAAGAAATATGTGTCCACCAACATAACCATCGAGCTTTACCGTGAGTATACAAATTTAAATGAATTTGTTGGTATGTCTTTGACGATTTAGGAAGCGGATCTGCGACATTGAATCTGCATTTCAGCTAAAGCGAAATTTTGTATTATTTGTTTTAATTTTCCAGTAAATTGAGAAATTGAATTGGAGCGAGGTTAATACGACACAAATATGGTGCTAAAAATATTTTGCGAAACAGTTTATTTATTTATTGTATTTATTTCACGTTTTTCTGATTCCGGTTCCCGAGTTGGCTTTTTTGTTTTTGATTTATTTATTGTTATACCCTTGCAGAGGGTATTATAATTTTGGTCAAAAGTGTGCAACGCAGTGAAGGAGACATCTCCGACCCTATAAAGTATATATATTCTTGATCAGGATCACCTCCTGAGTAGATATGAGCATGTCCGTCTGTCCGTCTGTCCGTCTGTCTGTCCGTCTGTCTGTTTCTACGCAAACTAGTCTCTCAGTTTTAAAGCTATCGTCTTGAAACTTTGCACACACCCTTCTTTCCTTTGCACGCAGTATATAAGTCGGAACGGCCCGGATCGGCCGACTATATCCTATAGCTGCCATATAACTGATTGATCGGAAATGGTATAACTTTGGTGTTTTTAAAGTTAGAGAGTTCAAATTTTAGGTGAGAGCTATTTTTGGCAAAATAATACGACATGCTAAATTTCGTAAGGATTGGCCGACTATATCCTATAGCTGCCATACAACTGAACGATCGGAAATGACCCAACTTTAACCCAACTCGTGTTTTTGAAGATAGAAAGCTGGAACTTGGTACAGATTATATATTTGGTGAGTTGATCCGACCTACCAAATTTCATTAGGATCGGCCGACTATATCCTATAGCTGCCATATAACTGAACGATCGGAAATGGTACTTATATCGTAGAAATATCAACTTTCGTATTTTTGAAGATAGAAGTTTGGGACTTTTTTTAGATTTTGTATTGTAAAAAATTGGATTACATATTCCTATTGCCATAAGGATCGGCCAACTATATCCGATGTTTGCGATATATATCCGGTTTTAACTGCAAGGGTATATAAACTTCGGCTCCGCCCGAAGTTAGCTTTCCTTTCTTGTTTTTGTTTTATTTTTGGGTTTAAGCGCTGCGATAAAAGTTTAAACAAATAGCTACGCAGATAAAAACGGTCCGGGTGTAGCACACAAAAAATGTAAAGAATACCAAAAAGACTGAGCAGAAAAGGCTGATAATATAATGGCTTATGCAAATATAACAAAATACAAACGAAAACAGCAACAAAATTGCAGGATATTATACCAAAAATAGCGAAAACAAAATACCAGTGCGTAACTTATCCTGTGACCTGGTGCATATTGTACGACCCCAGCAACCCCATACCAAAAGGCATTTATCCTTTTATAAAAATTTATGTAGAAATACCTATAGAAGTTTCGGTCAGGTTAGTGGAGTGTGCATGACCCAAATGGATTTACTATTTTGTGACAATTTTTTAAAAGCCCCGTTTCGACGATTTCGACCGACAGTAGCCACGCAAATTGTTAAATTGAATTAAATTGTTGCCAATTCCGCGTATTGGGCTGCTGAGAGATTTGTGACCTGAAAAGCTGTTCGTTGGAGGTTTATTTGCAGTATTTGCAAAAATTCAATTAATTTAAAGTATGCACTAAACAACACAAAAGCATTAGCATAACGATTTTTAAATTACAAATAATCCTGGCAATGTTACTGTTAGAAAACCCCTCACTCTCTCCCATTATTAACTTTCCATCATCATTTAATATTTTGTTGGATGCTTGGTTATTAGGCCCATGGCATTGTGCTAACAGCCAAAGATTGGCCATAGAATTTTATGGCACTTTGGCGCGTCTGTCATGGCCCTCAGAACGCCAAAGCAATTGGACGGCAATTCCTACCCTGTATGTACCCGAAAATAATGTGAAAGTGTATCGGGGACAGCAGCTGGTGATGCGCATATTTGATATTATTGCTCCGAGTATAAAGTATTCTCCAAGATTGAAGCGAGGAGCTCGCGAATATGTCGCAGTTGCGAGGACATAAAAGCTAACACGCCTATAATGAAGGCCTTGGCCTTAGATGAGGCAATGGAGTGATGCCAACTTAGTCAATTAATGTGGCGACAGAAAGAAAGTGGGGTATGCTTAGGAAACGACCTTGAAATAATAAGCGGCGGTGGTCCTAACCAGGTTTTTCCACTTTCCTGTACAGAAATTCTGATGTTTTTTCGGCTTTGCGTGTAATGATAAAGTGAAAGAATGGGAAACGGGGCAGTTGAATAATAAGTACGACCTTAATTAGTTAATTTTATGGCCACTAACAATTAGATTACACCCGTCACGACACTCCGTCCCACAAAAACAAACACAGCACATGCTTATAACAATTATGAGCATTCCTCATTAGCACACAATTTAAGCCCCAAAAGGGCCGGTCGATGCCCGAAAGTGCAGCCTTTAATTCAATTAAATGTATTGCATCAGGCTCAGATTCAGTCGCAACGGTGATCAAATACGATGAATGATGCCCCAGAAACCATTTACTATAAAATAATCCGGTTTGCGTAAAAGGTGTAAAGACAACATAATATTTTGATTCGTCCTCCAGACCATCTCCAGCGCGCTGGAGCGTCCTCTTTAAATGATTTTTCAATGCAAATGTGCATAATTAATTTAGGTAGGAAAAAAGTGGTTCAGCTGCAACAACAACAGGTCGATTTCTGTGTATTTAAAAAAAAATACAATTTCATTCTACATGCAACCAATTCGAAATAAAAACAAATGTAAAATGTCATTGAAATAAATATAATTGTACATGCTCGTGGCTCCCCTTAGGGCAGGGTTTTTGGTTTTCCTCTTTTTATTATCGCATTTGGGTTTAACTGAAATGTCACGCCTTTAAATTAACGCTTAAAATACGCGGCCAACCGCAGAAAGTGTAACAGCGGAAAAAAATAACAATTGCCTTAACTTGGTTGAATCGCAGAAAAAACATACATATATATATGTATACAGGGCATTGAAATATTAATATCCTGGAATGTTTGCATAGCAAAAACAAAGTTTACTCAACATATTTACTCATTTAAATTAAAAAAAAAAATAGTTTGAAATAATCTCTGCTAGTTCCAGCCAAATGATTCTCCCAACAACCAATGCTAAATGGGTGAATTAAATGCCAATTGAAAGCCAAAGTGAATAATTTACAATTTTGTTTGAATGCAGCAAAGCCGAAATGAAAAAATAGAACTGTGGAGCATGAACACAATCACAATGATAGCGATAACGACGGGAAATTGTGTAATGCCGATAATGAACCCGGACCACGGACCAGGATCCCAAAGTGTTACGTGACCATTTTGGGGTGGAGACATAAATATGTTGGTTATTGTTTATTTGTTTGGCTTCAGTTTTTCAATTTTGTGGGTAAACAAATTGCTGTCACCGTGAATATTAACAAATATTCAAATTACATAAATATAATTACATGAATATTTATTGGTGGAAATTTAACCCATTGTTTGTGATCTACAAATCCGAAAATTCCCGATGCCAATTGGACATATGCCAATTATTTATTGAACGGCTATTTATCCGTCTGGATTCGGAAAGGGGGTTTTTCCTTTTATGATTATTATTTGATTATTAAAGCTATCTTTAAATTTAAACGAAATTCTTATTGTTGATAATTCCAATTACTTTCTTTAACGCGTTAATGCATTGATATTTTAAAAGAGAAAGAAAATAGCTTATCGTTGGCATCGCCTCCAATGGTAAAGTTTCTTTATTTCTGAAATTTATCATGCGAATTATTTTGGCTTTATGGAAAACAGAAATATTTTCTGCCATATACGAGATATTGTTGCAATCCCTCGTTATTCTTGTTGCATTTGTTGGCGTTGCTAGTGGCAATCGTAATTTGTTGCAATTAATTTTAATTGCATTGCCTGTCATTTCCATTTCGATTTCGATTTTTCACACACAATTTGAATAAATCAACAAAAAGCTGCTGTCGCCCCAAATGGAGGAATCGAAATACATATTATATAAAAACAAAATAAAATAAGCAAAGGGTGGGGAATGAAAGCCAACCTTAAATGGCATTTAAGCAAATAAATTAAGGATGGAAATTAATGTTTGTACTATCATAAACAAACTGTTTTCATTACAGTGCGGCCGCTGCTCGTGGAAATCAGTTTCAACAACCAGCCGATGTCCGCGGACCGAAAATACGAGATCGAGTGCCAAGCGATCGGATCAAGACCTCCAGCCAAGATTACCTGGTGGATGGGCAACCAGGAGCTTCTTGGTCACAGTCAAAAGGTAATTAAAGGAAAACATACATACGAGTACTTCATAACAGTAACTTTTATTATTCGATAAAAAGGTATCGGAGGATGGCAATGTGAGCACATCGGTTCTTTCAATCACTCCAACAAGGGAGGACCATGGCAAGGCCCTATCCTGCCGGGCCACAAACGAACTTGTTCGCAATGGCATCCGTGAAACAGCCATGAAGTTGAATGTGTTCTGTAAGTATGGATATTGGTATTTTTGGCTCATAAAATAAATAAATGACTGTCAGACTGACTCGTAGTTAAATATTATGCCCAACTGAGCCTAAAAGCACCAATTAGAAATTTCCAATGTTAGTCACCCTACATCGAGACCCCTGAAGGACTGAAATCAATCATTTTCCACAATCATTTTACCCAAATATTTTGTGTACCAGGAACAACTTCCCCGCCTCCGGTTTAATAACGCCCCTGTTTGACATATGCCGCTGCTTTACGAGGGCCACATAAACCATCGATGGGCCTCGTAGTGGCTGTTCTCGTGCGATCCCATAAACTATGTCAACCGCTTATCGCCCATGTCCTTTTGGGAATCAATACTGTTTTGCATACCAATGCCATAGAGACCGGCTGAGCGGAGGGGGATTTCGAACTCAGTTCCAAATATTGGCGGGCTTTACATAATACATTCATTTTTTGGTTGTTTTTCTTTTTGTATTTTATTTTTGCCTGCGGATGGCTCGTATGTCACACGATTGTTTTATGGGGCGCGTCAACAATGTGCTGGGGGTAAAGTTTGTTAATAAAATTTCTATAGAAAAATATTAAAAAGAGGAGGCGCTGGCAAGAAGGCAAGTTTGCGCACACTATGCGAGAAACCCGAAAGCGCACTTTAAGCCGCACAATCAACCCCATCCGCCACACATATGGAGGAAGAGCCCTTAATGTTTCAATACTCCGCCGGGAGACTGGTGTCCTCATCTTCCTTTGACTGTGACGACAGCGTCTTGGGCAAACAGTTGCCACGTCTATTATCTAAAAAGCTTGCCGCCTCGTTGTTCCCCAATGCCATTGAAACTTTTACTCCTTTCGGTGGCTGCCATGATGGGGTTGCTGTAGAAAGAGCACTGAGCAAAAAGTACGTTTCTAAAGATTGAAGTTAATGTTTCATATTCAAGAGATAGACTTTCCCAAAGGGTTCTTGGCTCAGTGTAGGACTGTCCTATGGGAAAAAGTCGGGCGCAGCTTCTGCGCGAGCGCTGATATAAAAAATTAGATAACAATTTCAATTTCCATGCTCATTTACATGTTTATAGCGTGCTTAAAATATTTTGGCCCCCTCCGTGCTGCTTCTCCTGACATTTCCTGAGATTTCATATTTCCCGTCCTCCGAATTTCCAAGTCCCCGAAAAAGATTTTGTGTCTTTTTTAAGCGCGCTCTTTGTTTGCCTTTTGCGTCGGGGGTAAATTGAAAAGTTGATGCAATGTCTGATGCTGCCAGGAGTTGAGCAGGGGCAGGTTGAAGTTGACGCTGCCAATAATTTTCTCATTATATTACATCACATTTAGCCAGGGTCATAAAAAAGTTATCTCTAATATCTTAATCTGGCTACCTCGACGGGGGCAGACCTCTTATTTTCCACACAATCAACCCAGGTTAGGCTGCCGGAATGAAATCAACAGGAAAGCCAGGCCAAACCCAAAAATTAAAGTCATATCCGTAATAAACTTAATGACACGGCAGCTTTTTCGAGAGGACTCTGAAGTGGAGGTAGTGAGGGAGTGGGATAAAAGGGCACCCTTATGCAAAAATTTACTTACAAATACACTTATTTCATGAATTGGTTTTGTAAATTTTCTATCCAATTCTGTACTGAATCTTTAAAAACTATAAACAGGATGTGCAACGAAAAGTTTCTGCTGAAATTGAATAACCATCAGCAAGGCTATAAAAATAGGAAGAGGAAAATAAACTTTGAGCTTAATGTTATTTATATGGCCAGAGAGGCTAGTGGAATCAATTTAAGGGCTGCTAACGAGAACTTGTTCAACTTTGTGCAATAGACAATGACAAGGCCCACACATACAAATACACACTCATTGGCCAGGACACTGCTAGAGATACACTCTCGGGCGAATGCAGCTGCAACATTATGTGGCACTGGCACTCAAAAGTCGTTACGTTAAGCTGCAGTTACGACTGGGATGGGCTGGCTTGGCTTTTTCCTCTCGTTTTTGGAACTTTCAATGGGAGGAGGCAACTGGAAGGGGTCAACGAGATGGAGGACCATAAAATGCATTAGCCAGACGTAGTTGGCCAGCTTGGCCAGTGACAGTTATTACCACTTAAGCCCATCCTAACCGCAACAGGGTGGCCTGCCAGCCACTTGGGGTTTCCTATGGTGAATGTCGCTCTGTCATTATGCACTACAAAAAATTCATCAATTTTATTTTTCGCTGTATAATTAATTTTTCTCGCAATTTCAAATTCTCTATTTAATATTAAGTTTTTTTAATAAAGGAAATACGCCTTGACTTAATCAAAATTTTTACTTTGTTTCTATATAAACTAGTGCTTTTCTTGAGTGCTTAGATCTCCCCTAGGCTTCTTTTGTTAAGTTTTTTGTTACTGTTCCGACTTAAAGTCACCGCTAATGAACTTGTTGAGCGGGAAAAAGATAGATGCCAACGAGCGAAACACTACGATGCTGGGGATCTAGGGAAACTCTTTAAATTATGCAAACTGCTTTGACTCGCTCTTCCTGTCTTCTTTGTCCTGGGCACTCCTTGCCATTCGGATGGAGCCCATTCTTATTCTGTGTTCTGTGTGTATGTGTTAAGGCACTTTTCATTTTCATTAACAAGTCTTTGCAAAAGACGAAATCGGCTTAAAGAAACTTGCTTATAGAAGCTACTACCCCTCCCTGCCTCCACTCCTTAGCCTATAAGGGAAAAAAGAGTAAGCAGCCAGAGACCCAAGACCAAAACTACGAGCAAGGAAAAGTTGCCAAAAACAATGTGCAAAATAATAATAAACAACTAGAAGGTGGAAAAGGGAAACAAAGGGATGGGAACCTAGCGGAAGGGAAAACGAAGCGACACTAATCACAGATAAGCCTAGATTAGCCCCCTTTTCTCCACCCACTCGCACTAGCTACTGCTCCTCAGGCCTTTCTTGGGCTTGAGTTGAAGGATTGTCCAAAACAGCAAATTACGCTTGCAGAGCCCTACCAGAATCCAAGCCCGAATCTAAGTCTCAGGCTTCTTCAAATGAAAACCATGCTCATCCAGTGCTCTTTCTGTTCTATTCTCTACTTTGCAGTCATACCCACCTTGCAGCTGGACCTGGGCTCCAATCTAAATCCGGAGGATATCGAGGAAGGCGATGACGTCTATTTCGAGTGTAAAGTGCATGCAAATCCGGCTGCTTATAAAGTTGTATGGAAACATAATGTAAGTGAGCAAACAAAAACTTTTTTTGACTTGCAATATTTATGAAGGGTTCATCGAAAAGTAAGAGAAAGCTATAAAGAGCCACTGCTCCAAGTGTCAAGAAGAATAAATTCTAGAAAAAATACCTTTACGATGGCATTGCAAATATTTTACGTTGAATACAGATTTTAAATATGTGTTTTTTAATCTTTGCAAGTAGCTTTGTAAGACTATTATACATTTATTTCAAGGTAATTTTTGGTTGTCTTTAAAATGCGAATAATCCTTTTGAAGCACTTATAATAAGTAATGGTTGAACTTATGTATCTTTTTGGGTACTTTTCATAGAGAGCTGACCTTCAAGAGTACTTCGAATGTTGCACTAAAAGCAATTGACCGAATAACTGCCAAACTTCCGGCAATTCCCAAGACATTGGCGTGCCTCACACACGAACCTCCGGCTGGGTAAATTATTATGAAGGCAAAATTAAGTGGTCATTTTTACTGAATTATTGGCCAATTATTTTAAGGCAATTGAGCCAAGTGGCCAGCAGACAAGGCTAAGAATTCGCCAAGGGCGGGAGTTTGGAACAAAAGAAAGTTTTCAGGCAAAAATATTTGTTTATTAGTTAGATCAGAAAAACAATCGCTCGCAAATAAATGTTATTCAATGGCGAACAAGAAGCGAATCAAGTGTATGAATAATATGAATGCTAATTGAATTCATTCACAATGAAGTACATGACCCAACAAAGACCCAAGCTAAACAACAGCACCAGCAAGAGAAAAACCAACAACTTAGCCATAACTTTTACCGAAAACAACAATAAGCAAATACAAATACTCGAAGACGACCGAAAACTTTTTTGGAATGGGGCGCGGAACACAATGTAGTCCTAAGGAACTTCCACAATATATACATAAAGGGTAGGAGGCGGCTGAGGTAGATAAAAACTTTATATGAAATAATAATTTGCCAGGGACAATGGAGGTTCGCTTCAAGGGCTGATTTCATTCGGTTGTTCTATCTAACATCGAACAGAATGTTAATTATATAGAAACTGGCGACTGAGAAAGGAAATACATGGTGGAGAACAATCAATGAGCTTTAGAAGTCAATGTTAAATGCAAATGAACTGATGACAGGGCTGGCAAGAGTAAAGTAAATCTGTATCGAAATAGGAATACCCTAGTGAACTTCCTTTATGCAAATAATTATAAGATTAATTCTTTTTAAGAAGTAGTACATATGTACTACTCTTGTTGAAGTCATAAAGGAAAATTATATTTTGAACTGAATTCAGAACTCTTACGAAATGGGTATTTAAGATTTATGACACCCTAACAAGCAAGCTAGTGAAGCACAGTTGGTTAGTTAGTTGGAAATCGTCACTTGCATTTATCCAGCTCAGCGTGAAATCCCCTGCAGCTTTGACCCCTCTCGTTATTCTTCGTTTTTCTCCTTTGCCGAGTGTCATAACAATAAAAGTTCACTGCGGCAGCACAAAAATGGAAATGAAATGGATACGAAACTAAGCCAAACATCCACACACTCTGGAAAAATAGTAAAACGAATGGGGGTAGGTGGGGGCGGGCATTAGACAGACAGCGACACTTGTTCGTGTGCACATGGCGTATGCGTAATGAGTTCAAGGCCAGGCGGAAAATTGCAAATTGCAAATGTCTTGGGCCAAGTCAAGGAGAATAAGGCAGGAAGGCAACAAGGCAACAAGGCGAGAAGAAGCCAAGTCGGGCATTCATTAAAAGTCAATTGTTAATTGGCAACAAGAGCAGTGAGTACTGCAAATGCAATTAAAAGTCAAATCAAGTTAAATCAACTCGGTTGCACTCAGTTAACAAGTAAATTAATTTTTGTTTTGCCACCACATCGATTCGGTTTGAACAATTCCTTTCCGCAGAATGTCCCGAGGGCAAAAAGCGGAGCCAAGTTAACTTGTCTTCGTCTGTTATTATTCAATTAGGCAAGCTGACAATTAACGACGAGCTGGCAAATTAAATTAACAATTAGTTTTATTAAACTTGTTCACAAACACACACTCGCGCATATATATGAGTTTGTTGAAGGAAAGTTCCCTAGTCCTTGTCCGTGGGAGTGCGTGCAAAAGTTATACATGTTCATTAACAACAACAAGGCAGCGAAGAAGGAGGAGCATAACTTTGATAGAATCGTTGCCGCAGCAACCAGCCAGCCTCGTATGAATTCCATTGGCAGTAAAAGTTATTTTGCTCACACACACGCATTCGTCTAAGTTGTGTCAGAAACCGCAGAAATAGCAAACATAGCCGGAAAATTTGATTAGAGAACAAAGTCAGTGGAAAGGACTTTAAAGTTTGCCAAGAACTTGAAAGCAAAAATTAAGGAATTCATACATAACGAAGTGGTCACGGTGGTAGACAGTTTAAACGTATAAGTAGCTCTGTTTGAATAATTATTTGCTTATAGAACTACATTTATTTGAAATGCTAAGCTAAACACAAGATTCGTAGAATTCTAAACCAAATCCAACTCAATCAGGCCGATCTATCAGATAAATAACGGGCACTAATTGGGTATTTATAGTCGGAACAAACATCAATGACAGGCCAACAGGCGAACAGACGAACTCGAGTTGGCGCTTGAGGAGTGGCAGGCAAACATGTCGAAAACATGGCCGAGAGACAGACAAACAGAAATGGCAACGCATAAAATGCGCCATTAGCATTGAGGGGCTCTAAAGGGTTATGCAGACATCATCAAGTCGGGCGGGAACTGGGTGACGGCCGATGGTGGGTGGCGGGTGGCTGGTTGTGGGTGATGACCTCGCCGGAGAGAAGGGCGGAAATTCTGCAGCGGATGTGCCCCGAACTATTTGAAATAATCCTCAACGCCCACTCAGGCGTAACGATTTTACTGGCCTACCTTCTTTTCTGCTGTCTATTTGCCTTTGTTTACACTTTTCTTTCGTTTTTTTTTGCTTTTCGGCTGCGGCAACCTTGAACTTTATTTACTTTTCGTATATGCCTGGCGACATTTTTATTTGTTTTATGACAACAAGGTCGCTGGGGCAAGCCACTGTGCGCTCCCTCTTCCATTTTGGCTATTTAAGTTAACCCTACGGGAATTGAGGCTGCGCGGAAAACGAAAAAAGGATCTCGGCCAGGACGAGTGCGGTGTACACAGTACGTATACTCTATGCCCTGGGGGATGTTCTGCTCTTTAAACGGCTTTAAACATGTCAAGGCAAATGCTAATAAGTAGATGAATACATCTACATGTACTTATCCTCTCTGCCATCTGCATCGGCATGCCACTCAAACAATGCCAGCAGTATCAATCACTTGGCCCCCAAACAAATGGAATTGAATAGCCGAAATGTCAGCCGTGGACAAACATTGTTATGTTCTGTCTAACCATCTATATAATTGTTGACATCCCCGCAATGGAAAGTGCACACATCATACGACAAAAGACCAAACAAAGGACGTGGCGCGATATACCCAGGATTGAGACTGCCACCTCCCCAGAGAATACAGATATATGAACTGTGTCATGTCCTTCATGGCTCCTATCTCCTCAGCCTGTCTAAGTTTGAGCCTGGCCTATTTAGGGCACTTGGAAATATAATTCTTACATTTAGTCATGCAAAAAATATATTTTTGTAACTAATATATTAAGATAACCATTATAATATTTCTTTCTGAAATAGTAGCCCCACTTGATACATGAACAAAATACTTACATAGATGATTAAATACTTAACGTACAAAAGTGGTTATTTAAAATAAGAAGTCCCATTAAATATTATTTTTTTTAGGAAAAAAACCTTTTTTTTGAGAAGTGTGGTAAGTTTTCTTGCTGTTTCGCCAAAGTGCATTGTTTCCATTTATTTTCACCCACATCCAGATATAGGCATCACACTATGGATGTGTGCTAAGGTCGTCGAGGCTTTGTTCGGGCTGGCTCTGGCTTTTTGACTTTTGTCGGCCATATTTATATACAGTTTTATTTCTGTTTATTTCAATGCTTTCATTGTTGCTCCTTTTCTCCCAACCCCCCGCCCTGCACCATCCGCCAACTGCCTACCGCACTTCCCGCCTCCGGTTGTTTGTTTGCTGAGCTCGGGCAAAGTGCGAATTTGTTTTGCTGCTAAATGGCACAAGGCTCTGGGGAAATGCGTCAAAATGTTGTCGAGTGCCGGCCCGATGGGGAAAAGGCTACAAAACCAAAAGGCGGGCATCGAGCTTCGAGCATTATTCCAAAATGAGAGCGAAAGTGCGGAAAAGGCGCTAAGAAGGTCAAGCCTCTGTAAGCATTTGGATGCGAGAGGACTCTGTGTGGGTTATTATTATGCGAGTGTGAGGCGGGAAAACTTAAAGTAAATATTGGCTGATTTTTCAGTTGCGATGCCAGGCACGTAGGAAGCCATCTGAGTCAAGACTCTCTAATGAAGCTTCAAGCTCAAGGATGCATGAATTTATGGTCCAGAAAAGATATGTGTTGACCTTGTATCGGGATGAATTGTATTAACGCTTGTTTTCTTAAGAGAAGTTCGAAAATATGTAGCTTTTCTTTGTTTTTTATGTTAAAGTGTAAGCTGCCAAAAGAACAGTAGGTCTTGTATGTCCTTTATGTTATAATTAGTAATTAAACTAAGTCTCTTTATACCCAACCGAATTAATACCTTACTTAATCATAACCTTATCCTGACAATTGCAGCACCAAATCATCCAACACAACCAGCGCGCCGGAGTGATTGTCAGCAGCGGGGATCTGGCACTCCAGGGAGTCACCCGTCATCAGGCCGGGAACTACACCTGCACCGCCTCCAATGTCGAGGGGGATGGCGACTCCAATGTGGTCGAGCTGAAAGTGATGTGTGAGTATTGAATGGCGTGCGTTTGCATCGGCGATGGGAATGCATGGGGTGCACCGGAAAGACATTTGCGGAATATGTTGATTTGTGGCGCCTCAGTCGACCACACTCACCTCGCTATTGTGAATCGGGTGCCGCGCAATATGCTGGCTGACCCATAAAAACGCTTTCATTGGCCGGGCCAGGCCATTAACGAATGTTTCGCAGGGGCTTTCAATAGAAAATGGAATGCCCCACTATGGTTCTTTGGATTTGGCTTTGCCAGTGGTTCTGCTTTCCGATGCTCGGGCTGCTGATGTTTGGTTTCTCGAGTGGACCTTTGACACACAAAAACGAGCATTATTGAGTGTTCGAGTACGTCCCGAGATGGGGATAGCAGGGCAGCTGGCAAGCAGCCGAGGAGAATGGGCACTGATGGTGATTTCCCTGCCATTGTGCGCTCGTGCGGGCCGCTTGCAGGTTTATTGCGTATACGCCCCATTTTTGTGGGCTGCTCGAAAGCTTCTTTGTCTGCCGCTTCAGTAAATAGGGTTAAATATGAACCTTCCAAAGAGTAAAATGCAATGGTACAGTGGTGTGTTAATAAAAAATATAAAACTAATCAATAATTAAAAAAAATTTTATTATTTTTCCAAATATTTTTTTAAAAAATAATCAAATTACATTTGTTGTCATAAACAAAATGTAAGATAATGCAGTGTTCGGCTTAAATTATATAGTTCATTGTTTCAAGGCCGGACCGCAAATCTTCTGCTCAATTTGTGCCGGATTCCTGAACTTGGCCCCGGCTCGAGTCAAACTTTGGTTAATTAGTTTGCCTTTTTCGAGCAATTTAGCAGGCCAGAGATCCCTCTATTCATTTTACCAGCCACCCCGCCTGCTTTTGTGGCCTTATGCTTTGGTTTTTCCGGAGCCATTTCCCTTTTGTCACTTCCACTTCAACGTTTTATTTTTTTGTCTGCCCTGTTGGGGACTTTTGTTTTAAGCACAGCTTCCGTTGGCCGCAAAACTCGAACACAACTTCCTTTGCAACAGCCACCTCCTCTCTTGTGCTCGGTGTATTCCCACACTTCCCGGGTGGTGCTAAAAATTTGTTTACGGCTTGCCCAGCTTGGCCTGCAATATCGACAGTTGTCAAATGGCACAATAAATTCGCCACTTGCAACTTTCAACTTTCCCAAGTTTCGTGGCTGTGGCAAGAGACATTGAAAGATTTTCCCCGACCAAGGATTAGAAAATTGAATTTTCTTGGCCTGCATAACTCTATGCATTTCACTTTTCTGTTGCCAAAAGTTGTAGCTGCCCAAAGTTTTTGTTTCGTTAAGTCGCTTCCAACTCTTATTTTTGTAGTTTTATAAAATGCATTACGAGTTGAATGCACAAAAATATTCAAGAAAATAAAGGATTTCAAAAAAAATTTTCTTTTTGGCAAAATTTCAACTTTGGAATATTTAAAAACAAATCCACAGAGAAACAATAAAATTAAATATTCTGATAAGTTTTCAACCCTATTTAGCCACAGTTTTTTATTGATTATTTGTTTGGAAGTGCTGTTTTGGAAGTGTCCTTTGTATCCGTTCTCTGTTTAGTTAGCTGCTTAAATGGCTAATACGAAATCTCGGTACAGGCTCTTAGAGAAATAACTTTTCTACTTTGGATTTTTCGTCTAAAGGGTCACCCCAGAACAAAGGGCTTTCGTCCAGAGTTCGTTGCGATTATTGATTCTGGCTGCAGTGGCAAGTGCAGTAGCAGATGCTCTACAAATAACTTTGCTCGAATCTACCCACTCACTGATTCTGGTTTTCTTTGTTTCTGCCCTACAGACAAGCCAATTTGCCGGCCCGATCAAAAGAAAATCTATGGAGTGGCCCGAAACGAGGCTGCCGAAATCGTTTGCGAAGTGGATGCCTTCCCGCCGCCAGAGAACTTCAAGTGGTCCTTCAACAATACGGCGGAGACCTTCGACATGCCGCAGAGCGGTTTCCGACCCCACTCCGCCCAAGGATCCACCCTCACCTACACGCCCGTCAAGGTAAGTACCAACTGCTTGATCCAGTGTCCAGGAAACCCACTGGGAACCGACAAATGTCGACGGGTAGTGGGGCTCAATGGGTAGAGATGCGTGACCCATTTGTCGTGTTAAATGCTAAACACGCCAGCCACTCGATTATTTGGAGGGAAGGTATGCGGCGTGATGATACATTTTTCATTCCATATTTCGCTGCCTTAAATGTGAAATTGTTATTGACACATTTGACATTTGGTCGGGGTCGTGCACTGTAAAGAAAGTTTATTAAGAATTGAACTGTGTTAAAAATTTACAAAATAGGTATATTTCTTAGAAAATTGTTGTTACTAAGCTTTTTTTTTTTTTTATAGAAAATGTCTTTAAAATATATAGCTACAAGTATGAAGCTAAAGTTCCAGTGCACTTGTGTTACCATTGAACTCCACAGGGGTTGTCTGTTATTGAATAGCAAAAATTTTAATTAATAGGCAGGTCGGTTTCCTGTTGTTGTTTCCTCATGTTGTTGCCATTTATTTTGGCCTGTGTGCGTGTCATATTGCCGGCTAGCAACAGGAAAATCATTGGGGAGGGGAACTCCACTCGAGTTCTGTAGAGTCCTTCCATGACAGAGACAACAGCAAGCCATTTGGGGCAGTCAAGCCATTTTAATTAAAAATTCTATTAGCACTGCTTTCTAATTAAAAATCCAATAGCACCATCACCATCGCCCCTTCTGACACCACCACCACCATCATCATCATCGAAAGCAAGAACAATAAATGTCAAAGGTTACTGACAAAAAGAACACACACGAGGGTAAAAGAGAAGGGAAAAATTATTGGAAGTAAATGCTATTGACTTTAATAGTTATCTTCATTGGCCAAAATCGAGATAGAGCTAAGCACTTACCACCTTTCTATTTTTCTGACTCTCTCTTCCTGTTGGCAGCATTTTCGCATTAATGGCCTGAATAGCCAGCATCGATTGCGATGGAAGCATTTTATGCTCCTCCTCGGCAATTGGCCAAGCAAATTGGCCATCAATGACTGCTGCACGCACATCAAAGTCCGAATCCTAAGGTATTCTGTTTTTGCATTTGATGTCTCCCATATCAGTAAGTGTCGAGATCATCAACAGCTGGTGGCCCTCTAGGGACTTACAGTGCCACACAATGTTGCATATATGCGAGAAAGGCTAAAAACCTCAAGTTGCAAAATCTGTATAGATTTATTTTGTTATTTGTTTTTTTTCAGAATTTTTCAAACACCTTCTAATCGTTCTGTGCAACATTGAAGTGCATTTTTGTTACTTTGGAAGCGTAGAAAGTCCATCACCAGTGCCAGTGATTTTTGGCAAGTTTCATTTTTTCCTCAGCCAGTCGCCACCTACATTTCCGCTTGGCTGTCTGACCGCAAACGTGTTAAGTTTTTCGGACTGGGCTGCGGTTGCTTGTAAGCCAACATGGCTGCCATTATGCGATGACAACAGCAACAACTGGATGCTGTAAATGGCATTGGCAAGCGGCGGTGCTAAGGGGTGGAGTGGAAAGAGGCACTCAACACAGTTGTTCAAGTTGCATGGCACCCAGTTGGTTCGGTTGGGCTTGGTTTCGGTCTGGCTGAGTGTCGAGGCTCTAGCTCTTCGCTTCCTCTGGTTTTTCTAGCTGACCCAGTTTAAAATGTTGCGGCTTCTTCTGCAGTTTTCCGTGCTTCGCCACCCTTTTGGCCATTTTTTCTTTACATATTCCTCTCCTTTTTATTTTTTGTTTACTGGCATGAAACTAATCAAACTGGCGATGACATCCTTGGCTCACATTTCAGCGATCAAACGAACGAACGAACGAATTTAGAGGCAGTCAAACGGCATTCAAATGAGTTCCGTTTGCAAACACCCCACCAGCGCACTGATTGGACACACTCACACACACACACCCAGGCCTAAAGGACCATCACACACATACACACACTCACACATAAATCATTTAGTCCAATTGAATATGAAAAATCCCTTCCGTTCCGTTGTCATATATGCTGTTTCCGGTTTCCGCCAACCGCAGCTCAAACGTCGTTGTCGTCACATTTAGGTTGGGATTTTTCCCTTGGAACTTTCCCCCTCTGGAATTTTTTTCTTATTTTTTGTGCCTGTGCGATTCTTCTCAAAGGCAGCCAACAGCTCATTAATTTTGTTTTGTTCATGGGCATGGGTATGGGCATGGGCATTTCTCCTCATTTCTCTCCGACATTTTTTCCCTCTATTCCATTGCTATTTTCTATGTGTGAGCGTAGCAATTTTTGCCAGACTTTCATGTCAAGCAATTTCCGCTGCTGACATATAAATTTCTCAAATATTTCGCAAAAATAAAATTCGGTCTCTTGCTTTTCTGGAGCATGGCACGAGGCTCTTCTCCTTCCCTCTTTGCAGCCCTGGAGCATGAAACTCATTAAAATGTCACTTAAATGTTTAAATTTTTAATTAAAATGCATAAATAATAAAGACAGGCTTGACTCGAAATGAAATGCACAGAATGCAATGCCTAGAAGTGCCAACAATTTCCTTCCCATTATGTCCTCTTTAGAATCCTTAAGCACACTATGCTACATATACATATTTGATGGATTTTGTTTTCGTTTCTACGGCTGCTTCCCATGCAAAAATATTTACCCTATTCCAGGCGTAACACTACAAACAATATCAACAAAATAAAAGATTCATAATAAATAGTCGGGCATAAATTCCGAGGCCCAAGGGAGCCAACCTTATCAAGGATTGTCGGCCTGGGCGATGACAGTTGCAAGTTGCAAGCTGCAGCTAGAAAAAAGGAGACGGAAAATGTTTCTGTGCATCTCGCACATTGATTATTACTTAAAATAGAGTGTGAGTGTGTTTTCTATTCAGAATTTTGCTTTCTCTACGCTGGGCTCTGTGTTTATGGCCCTGGCAGCTCCATTATTATATTGCCCTAGCTCTCTGCCACTTTCCCTTTGGCCTGTTGGTGTTGATGCGCAGTGTTGGCAGCTGCCAACTTGGCGCCTTTGTGCCAACACTTCTGCCACCCACAACAGCAACAACTAAACTGGCTTTGTTATTGCAACTTGATGTACCTATTTTAATTTTCATAAATTTGTCATAAATTTGCATAAACATTGGCTTAAATTTCGGCAAACAGCTCACAGACAATGGCACATTTGCAGCATATGTTTTGGCACTTTAAAGGATAATGATTTTTAATAACTCTAGTTGGAATTGTTAACTGTATTTGAAAGTAATACAATTAATATTGTAATTCAATTAAAATCAGATTATTTCCAAAACAATTATTGAGGCAAGTTACAGGAAATAATTGAAAACAAATCCCATTGCATCAACAATTATTGTTTCTAATGTGCGTTTTATTAAGTACAAGGGTATTAGAACCATAATGCATATATTAAAACTTGCAACTTTTTCCTTTTTTGTATTAAGGTAGAAAATCAAAAGTTAAACACTGAACTGACACTAATTGAAATTTAATAATATTAAGCCCCTATGCATGGCTTAAACTAATTACATTTGGCTCAATATCTCAAAAATCGATCTGTCATGGCGCCATATAATCAATCAGGGTGCCCTGCTGCCCCAACTCTTTTTCTGGATGATTAGAGTTTCCTCTTTGCGGCAGTTCGAAAGTGACTCAAACCTTCCTCCTTCCCCATTTCCATAAATCTCGACATTTCCCCAGGGCTAATGGCAAAGTTTCCCTCCAGTGCGACTATGTGCGCTGTTTTTTTTTTTTTGTTTGTTTTTTCCGTTCTTGCCCTAATTAAAATGACAGCCACGCCCAGTTGTGACTCGAAAAGATAGCAAAAGTAAAGAGAGGAGGTTGAAACGCGTGCCGACTGATAAATAAGCTGCAATTTGCGTTGACATTTTCCTGTGCACCCGAAAGTGATTTCAATTTTTAATGAGTTCAGGCCGCCTGAAGTTGATTAAGTGCGTTGATTCTGGTTCGCAGTCAACGGAAAAGGACAAAGGTAAACCCGGCCCAGACAGACACACACAGAGACACAGAGAAACAGGATATGTTGAGGATTCGGAGCCAACTTCCACCGTCAAAGCGAATCAATTGTTGTGACTGTGTGTGAGAATGTTTTACGGCTGATGATGTTTCCTGTATCGCTAGTTCGGTGGGTGTGTGCACTTGACCGTAAACGAAGGATTTCATTAGCACAACATTTGACAAAATGCAAACAAATAAACAAGAGGGACAAACAATGGCAACGACCGCAGGCGGCCACTTAGCACTATGCTACAATGGGATAGACAGGCATTAAGGCCATGTTAACATAGCTTTCATCCTCGCCCACAATTCGCATATGCATATCTATATATGTACATATATATATTATGTATGTGGGGGTACATGAATATATGCTGGCCAAGAGGGGAAATCACAAAATGCTTCATTTGTTTTTACTGCCAGCCATTTTTCCTTTCCGCCTTTCTTCGGCCTTCCTGCAGTGACATGACATGAAATTATATTAATGAAAAACTTATTGACAGCTGTGATCAATCAGGACAAACTCTGACAACACACAATGCCCCGTATCCATATTGATTTAATGAATTAAGTTCACATTGATGTTGTGTGCGGCTGCTCGAATGTCATTTAAATGCAAGGCCAAGAGATGAGTTCAAGTATATGTACTCAAGAAATACATATACATTTTTAAATAATTTAATAGCATATCGACAATCCTTTTCATACTTTATTAGACATAAATAAAAACTCTCTGTTCTCTGAACTATTTGCAGGAAATGGACTTTGGCACCATCATGTGCTGGGCCGACAACAATGTGGGTCAGCAAAAGGAGCCGTGTGTGTTCCATTTGATAGCCGCTGGCAAACCGGAAGCACCCACCAATTGTACGGTGGTCAATCAAACGTCCGACTCGCTGGAGGTTTATTGCATTGAAGGTGAGTTATATGGCAGCCCACAAATACATACATATACATCAAATTGCCAGCCAATTTGTTGCCCTTTTCACTCGGTCTTCCCTTTTGGATTTTTTTATATTTTTTTTACTTCTATAATTGCTGATGAGCCAATCAATGGCCGAAAAAGGCATTGGCAAAGACGAGGGATAGCAGAGGTGCAGACCGAAAGAAGAGACGGCCGGAGTGGCCATGTCCTGAGACTTCCTTTGCAGCATGAACATGAATTGTCGGTTACTATAGTGTGTTGTAGTGCTACGAATATGTGTTGAGTTTCCTGCAACGCTTTTCAGACTCATTTAAAATACATGAGCAACTTAAGTGCACTTTGGCAGCCATCTACGAGAATGTCTATCCACTCATACAGTCGCAGATATACATATCTGGGTTCCTGTATTCCCGAATACACATAAAGCACAGCCAACTTCCTTTCGTGCTGCAGACACAAATAATAAAAATGCAATGAAAGCATAAAACTGGAAAGGAAACCCATCGCAGAATGTAGAAATAATGTTGCTAAAATTTCAATTCTAGCTTAAAATTTGTAGTAATAAATAAAATAAAAGCATCAAGTGATGAACTGCCAGCTGAACCAAACTGAAGTTAGCTGAGAGACTGAAGGGTAGCACGGCAGAAAGTTAAGCTCGAATTTGTACATACAAAATGTTTTGGCTTGTTATGCAAGTTGCTGCCAGTTTACAGTTCGCAGTTCCCAGTTTCACTTGCTCAAGAAGGAAAGCGGAAACTTTAAATACAAATTCAATTCGCATATTTTATGCACAGCGCAAAGACAGAAAAATGCCAGCAAAGCGCAAAATAAGCAGCACAAATTGCAGCCCAAAGTTCAAAGTTCGCTGCGATAGAGTTGCATATTAGCGCAGACAGAGAAATGTCCTCGCAAATTGCAGCAGCTCAGAGCTTATGATGCATTTATGCAGCCCTTGAGTGCCAAAGCGGCACGGAAGGCGGCGACGGAAGCAGTCGGCGGCAGGGAGATGTAGAACTGGAAAGGCAACGCAAATCAAAGCGCTGCATAACGAGGCGGCTGCTGCAAGTGCAACAAAAAGCGCATAATAACTGCATACTTAATGGCGCTCTTTTCCGTTACTGTTTGTTACACGAGCTCTCCAAGCTTCCCCTGCCTTGTGTTTTTTTTTTTTGTTGGTTTTTACTGCCGCTTAAAGTTCTCAAATCTTTTCCCCCAATTCGTGGCAATCGCAATTGTTTTGCTCACTTAATGTTGTCTCAAGCACTTGCCCACGCGGCGTATGCGTAATACTTAAAATCCTTACGAATTACTGCGGAATATGCCACTTTAAATACTTGATGAACTTGAAAGCATTTTGAAAATTCACTTAACATTTTTCCGTAAACATATTTTAATATTAATTTTCATACTTGAATACTTATTAAATTCCTCAAAATGATAAGATAATTAAAAAATTAATTTAAAATAAAATACAAATTCCATATTATTACTTCAAACCTCAGTATTTTTTTCAGTAATCCCTGATATCCTTTTACATTGCGAATACTTGATGACCAAACTTTAGATATCATTACGTATGCACTAAATTGACGGCTTTAAGCTGATGCCCCTGCATCCGACCGCCCCGCTCAGCCATTGTTCGCCTTATTACCGCATTACGGCCACATCCAACCCCCGACCGCCCCTTCGGCTGCTAATTTAGTGGCTGCACATTATTATCATAGTCATCAGCATCATTAAAACTTTAACGAAAGTTGTTTAAGCACAACACAAGAGCAGCGGAGGAGCGCAGTAACTGTAGCTGTAGCAGTAGCCGGATCAGGGCAGTGCGCACAATGCGATACTTTTTATATTGCACTCCACATTAAGGGAAACGACCACCTCCCACCTCCCACCTACCAACTCCCATCGCCCACCACCCTCGCCCTCGGTCGTTTGTTTTTATAATAACTCAACTTTAGCTGCGGTCGACTTAAATAAGCCAGCACGCAACTTGGCCAACTCAACTCGACGTGGCCGTCGCCGCAGCTCAGCTCAAAACTGAACTCCTCGGTACCGAACTGAAAGCTGAACCAAACTCAACCCGATGCCTCCAGACGGGAATTGAATTCAATGTGCTCTGGTGAAGACAACTCCACGTCTTTGGGGCGAAACTCGTGTTGCGTCTTTTGCTGCTGCTGCTACTGGTGATTTTTCTTATATTTTTTTTTGAGCTGGGAAAACAAAAACAAAACAAACTGGCAGGGCAACAGCAACTAACCAAACTCATCAAGCGTCGGTTTAATATAATAAAATTTCAGTTTATAACATTTTGCTTCGCTGCTTACGATGCGGCTGCACTGAAAATGATTTGAGATAGCTTCATGACTTTTAAATACATAGGGAAATAAATATTTTTTAAAGCAGCGAAGTAGACAATTTCTAAATACGTTCATCATGTGGTAGTCAAAATACAGTACAAGTTCAGTAATTTATTTCTGTAAGTGTACTTCCATGCCATTTCTGCTTTATTATTTCTTTTTCACTGGCCCGTTGCCCATTGTTGCTGTAGCTAAGTAAATAAAATTAACCCATTACAATGAAGTTTTTTTTTTTTTGCCCTGACAACGGAGCTGCGGCAAATTTCATTAGCTAAACGTTTTAAAGTGCGCACAAAATGGCCGCCAAGGATGGAGGGAAGCCAGGGGGAGATATGTATCCCTTGAAAGGGAACAGAAAATAAGAACGGAATAAACCTTCCAGCCCACAGACCTACCGACCCCACAAAACCCACCAGCCCACCGAACAATGACGCTTTGAAGCAAAGGCCAAGCACATTCTCATTACTCTATTTCCGAGCCCTTTTCTTTGTGTAGGCGAGTCCGGGTGCCTGAAAAAAGCGGCCAACAACAACTAAAATTCATAGCAACATATAAAACATTTTCCACAACAATTTCTCCTTGGGGCCCGGGGCGTGTGCCCGGCTGAAGTAGTTGCTCAGAACCGGCCCCGAACCTTTTCAGTGACCGCCGCCTTTATTACAAAATATTTTAACATTTTTCGCAAGTGTTTTAAGTCGGCTTTTGTGTCTACAATGAAGTGCCATTTGAGCTGCCAAAGCTAAGCAAAAGCGTCCTCCGAAGAAGAGCAAGAGCATTAGCTGCTTATTTTGGCCAGTGCCCCAGAAACCATCCTTTCGGAGGACCGAGGACTCGAGTGGGTTTGGCCAGTTCTTTTGTGGTGTTATTAAATGGCATTTAAAATGTAACTCTAGATTACTGTTAATACATTTCTCGGCCGCAGTCGGCAAAGAGTTGAGCAGCACTTGAAGTTCGAGGGAGCTTGGGTCAAAGCTGAACCTGAGCTCTGACCTTTAGTTAGAAGCTTCAGAGTTTCCTAAATGCTTTATGGTTTGGGAAAATTGAGGTTTATTAAATAATACAAAGAGTTTTCCATCTCACCTTGCTGTGTCCGATATGTATCTAAATTTAAGCCTTAAAGCTCTATAAAGTTTTCAGTAAAATATATTTTAATCTGTTCGAAAATAAATAAATACATCAAATTATATTCCCTTTTTAGGATGAAATATGGTATTGATTTTCATATTCGTTTATTTGTTTATATTCGAATTTTAAAGCTTAAAACTTTTTGGCCAACAACAAAGCAGCTTTGTGTAATGTAATTCCTTTTATCTGTTGAAAGAGCACTCGAGAAATGCCGTAACAAAATTCCTGGCTAAGCATTTGAAGTCATAAATAAATCTTTACCTTTGACAAATCCCCTCCAATCCCTACGCAAAGTTTAACCAATACCGTAGTCAGTCGATTGCCAACTACTTAATATTAATAAGCTGGCCACCCCACACAAATCCCTGCCAATATGCTAAGTAAGCCGCAGTTCGTGCCAAGTTATGCAACCAGAGTCTTGTTCCCTCATTCGCAGGCTTTGATGGCGGAATGCGTCAATGGTTCCTCATGGAAATCTATGATCAGCATAGTGGCCAGCTCCAGGCCAACATCAGTGCCAAGTTTGCGGCCTTGAGCGTCACTGGCTTGGATGCGGGCCGCTTATTCCGCATCTACGTCTACGCCGTAAATGGACGTGGTCGCAGCGATGCTATAGCTCTCGATGGATATACCCTCAAGGCGGCTGAGAAGCAGACGGGTAAGTGAACATTTTCTCCTCAAAAATTATGAATTATGAATTTTAAATGCATTTGGGAGGATACTTTGCACTCAGAAAAATAAAAAATTAAAGACTTCCAAAGATAATTTGGATGATGTTTATGAACATCATTAAAAAATGTTGTTAAAAGTTCTCTTAAGAAATGTTTCAAGAATATGAAAGAAGCCTACATATATTCCTGCCAAAAAATATATTTTTTCAGTGAATGCTTGCTTTTTATGAATTTTTTATGCTAATACTTGGGATTTTTCTCTAACCTCCAGCGGACGAAAGCGAATTGCACAACTTTGCATTCGGCTCTGCGCAAGCACCTCTGTATCAGTTTCACGCCAAAGATTGTTCTGCGTTTTATGATTATTATGCCACCTCGCAATTTAATTACGCTAAACTGCTCAATGAATTGTAAATTCTGCGACACAGGACTTTTGCCTTTAGTTTGGGACGGAGAGCGTAAAATTTTATGCAGGCTTCGCCACAAAGTAGCGCAAAAAATCTGAAATGATTAGCATTAATGAATTGGGGTTGGTGGGAAACGGCCGGAAACGGTCCACCATAAAAACTAGAGGGTATGGGGTCTAAACGAAAAAGGAAATTGTAATGCTAATTAGCCAAAGCAAGAGCTGACAAGAGTTTTATTTTCATTTTCGTATATTTTCTTTTGTTGGCTCCGCTCCGGAAGTCCGAGACTGGGAAAGAGGATCTAAGAGGACAGTCACATTTTGTGTAAACAACTTGAGCCGACATTTCAATTTTTCATAAAGTCAGGCGGAGCAATGGGAGCGGAGAAAAGTGCAAAGCAAACAACGAACTGAGAGCTTCCGAGGGTCAGAGGTGGAAAGATGGCAATCGGAAAAGAAAATTGTCTTGACTAGGGTAAAGTGTAGAAGCTCTGACCAAAGGTTAAGTCTGATTCGGATCAGCATTCCCGGAGCGCAATTTGGAAATTGTCTGACTTAAGGAATGTACAAAAATTATGTAAAATTGAAATCTGTACAACTTTTTAAAAGAATCGCCAATAATTCTGCAGTAATTCATTAATTCTATTTTCTTTTCAGTTGCTTTGACCTCGTATAAGGGCAGCGCCCAGAGCCCGGACAACTTTGAGCTGACTCCGATCCTGTCGATTGGCATCTTTGTGGGCATCCTGGTGGCCATCGTCTGCATTGGGATTGGCACCATTGCCGCGTTAAAGCTGCGTTCGCATAAACACCAGCAGCAGGCAAAATTCGCACATCCGAATGCGAAATTCTCACGTCCGGGCAATTTGCAAATTAAGGACAAAATCTCATTGCCATTGAGTCACTCCGAGGAGATGTACGACGAGAAGAATCCCGACGTTGTGCCCTACAATGAGGGTAAGTGCCACAGCCGTGTCCCCTTGTTTTCTACGTATCCTTTTGGAATCCCCTCAAGATAAATGGTGTCTGCCTTGGCTTCTGTTTGCAATTTATGGACGTTGGGCTTGGGGCAGGCCCTTTTATGCAAATGCATTTGACAGGCCGTCCGGCTCATGCAGGCAAAACAAACAGGACAACTTGGAGTCCTGAAGAGCTAGCTGCATTTTTGTTCCGGTGCTGAAATATTTAAATGACAGCTAATTGCTGTCAGGTCCACGATGGTTAGCTTGTTTGCTCGTGTGTCTGCAGTCGAGGGCCTTAAAGACAAGTCCTGTCCGCCGTCTTTTTAAGGCGTAATGTTTAGGGAAAATTGGAAGCAGAAGCAATTTTACTCACTGCACGTGCTTGGTTGATTAATGGCAATCAAGAAATCAAGCGCCAGCCAAAAGCAGAAGGAGCAGAAGCAGAAGCATCAGTAGCAGCACAACAATTTAATCAATTTTCCAAACGTAAAGCAATTTCATGGCCAGGGTAAGAAAAAAACAGCGTAGGAAAAAAGCAAAGTCAAAGAAGCTAGAGGAGGGAAGAAAATTGAGCGGCAGGAAGAAAACTTGCTACCGAAAATCACCAAAAGATTTGAGGGCGTCGGCCAGGCCGAAAACTTTTGCCTTGCTACTTAACAACAACAAGCTGAAACTTTTTGAACTAACTAAGCGTTCTCTCTTCTCTTTTAATCCCCCCACGCCCACTCTTCGAATTTCCGCCCAGTTGATGGTGAATATAAACAAAAATCAGCAACACAAACGCCATCGGGACATCTTTCGACAACCAGCGAGGTGGAAATCAGCTGCAAGCCGGGCTCAACATCCGGCACCGGAATCGTCCCGGCCAACTCGGCGGACAGTGGCACCTATCAGAGCAGCAAGGTGAGTCGCAGAGCCAAACTGTCGTCAAAACTTTGGCCACCGAAAAGTTTTAATTACAGTCGAACTACTCTATGACGAACTCCCCACCGCCCAGCCGTACGTCCGCTGTGTCCCTGTGGCGAGAACATTGCCATGACAAATGCTTTGATTTGATGTCGCAAATTTCTTGGGAAAATCTTAATGCTCTTGAAAACAATTTGTACAAGCTTAGAAAAATGAACTTGTGATTATAGCCTAGCTAAAAACAGTTTGTAAAGATTTTTTTCCCAATCCCTTTGGGAAAGGATTCTTTCCACGAAATTCCACTATAGTGGCTTTTGAACTCTTTCCTAAGAAATAACAGATTGAAATATGTGGGTGTTTTAATTAAGTTTATAAATGTTTTCTGTATTTTTCTCAGAAATAACTCATTTTATTCTAGCAAGAGGATTAGGGCAGTTAAAGTTTCATTAAATCTCTGAGGCGAACTTAATTACCATCCGTGAATTCCTTTAACTGGTCTCCCACTTTTTTCGCAGGACGATGAACTGCACTATGCGGAACTGTCGCTGGGAAGCAGTACCTCAAAGAAGGCGCAGTTAGGGGGCGGGGTCCAGCAGCAGCAGCAACAGCAGCAGAAGCAGCAGCATCCTCTTCAGCAGCAACAGCCGGGACAACCGGTGCAGCATCCTCACCCCATGATGGGAGGGACTCTGCCACACGGGTCCAGTATGCGCAAGCTGCTGCCCAACATCCCGGCGACGGCGACACTGCAGCGCCACAAGCCGAATGCGGGCGGACTGCAGCATCCGCACCAGCACGCTCCACCGCCCACGTACGATTACGATTACTTTGAGGAGCCGACGATATATGCGCAGATCGATGCGTACAAGACGATGCAGGTGGACACAGGTGCCGGGGTTCCAGCCGGCATATCCTCGCCCGGCTCGCACGGCACTCCCTCGACCGTTTCCCCCGGAACGGTTCAGATGTACACCTTGCCCCCCCACCCTGGTGGCTACCACACCCTGCCGCACAACCACCACGCCCAGCAGCAGCAGGCGGGTCCGCAGAACTCCGCTTCGATGATGCAAATGATGCAACAGCAGCAGTTGCACCACCATGCATCCCCCATGCCGCCCTCCTACCAGCAACACCAGCAGCAGCAACAGCAGCAGCAAATGGGGCATGGCCAAATGCTCGTCTCGAGTAACAGCAGCGGTCTGGCGTCCACCACAGCCGCGGTGGCAAGTCCCAGTAGCTCCCTTTCAGGACTCTCGGGAGTGGGAAAGTCCTATTCCCGCGAAATAGTAACCGTGCGCACCCCGCTCATGTACTCGCAGCAAGAGAGCTGCGTTTAAGCAACAAGCACCCAGCAGCACATTTCTCCAATCGGAGCCCCCACGACCCGCACCCCTACAACCCCAAAACCCCACAAAACCCCCTAAAACTAGTCACGTAAGTCTTGAGCTCTTTGTGGTTGGTGTCTAGGCTAAGTGTTGCCAAATCGAATTGAATTAATCTACTGCATTGAAGTGAATTGATTGAAATTGAAGTCGAAGCTCGTTGTGGAACTGAAATAAAGATTAAATATTAATTTCTCTTTTTTTATGAAACGTAGCTTTTAAACACTTTGTTCCTTTTTGTTCGCAATCCACTTAGAAAAGATAGATTGTGCTTTTAATTTAAACAATTGGTCAGAGGCGTTAATAATAATGTGGCAGTTTCTGACCATAAATTCAACAGATACAAACAAAGCCTATATTCATAAATCAAAATCGATTAACGAAAGCAGCCAAACAGAGATACAGATTTTAAATTTATTTATTGGATTTTAGTTCGAATCGAGAGGAGCTTAGAAGTACCAATACGAAATAGTATTTCGAGGTTACTTTTAAAAGGACGATGAAGAATGTTCCTTCCTTATAGTATAGTATTTTTCAACGATTCCTTCACAAAAAATAAGATTAATACGAATCGACTTTCCAAGGGGATTTTGTAAATGTTTGTAAATGTCAACTGGCAGAGGCGGAGACAACAATTTGTAGGAAATAGGCTCAAAAACGTATAAATCTAGCATATAATTATGAGAAGTACATGTATATCCTCGATATAATAGACTCAAAGCTCACTCTCACTCAACTAAAGATAGGCGAGCAATGCGATGGCGCAACTTCTTGGCAAATATATTGAAAATAAATTACATTATTCAAATCTACGGTAAACAATATAAATAAAACGAACACTCACCCTTCGACACACACGAGCAAATTAGCTGCAATTAGCTTAGCATAAATGAATACTAAGTGTTAATGTGTAAATAGCAAAATCATAATTCAAATTTATTTTACAAAACCCAAAAGCAAATCAAACAAAAGTCCTGCGTACTGCAATATGAAAAGCAAACTCAAATGAATGTAAATTAGTTGCACATTCAATGCAGAAAACTCTAAAAGACTATAAATAACAAAAACAAACCCAACACATAGCAAACGTTGGTGTGCAAACTTGAACAAAAAACAAAACAAATCTAAAAAAAAGAAAAATTTAAGAAAATTGTTGTTTGTAAATTGCATTTATATATGAATTTCTATTTTTTCTCTTTAATGTATAAATCAATGTTTCAACTGTGAAAAACTAATTATAAATAAATCGAATAGACGCACCTTGTAAATTATTGTTACATTTTAATATTTGTGTTTGGGGACACATTGACAAAACAATAGTGACACCCTTTGACAAAATGTAAAAAATATGTTGGACATCTGTACTAGGCACGAGAAACGGCCTAAACAATTTCCATTTCCAGCTAGTTAAGAATAAAAGAATGAATATCGAAATCGAAAATATTGAAAAAGTAAATGAAAATGTGAAAAATAAATAAGTGATTTATCTTACATCAAATAGAATGCAGTACTACATATACATGTACTATATATACATATATATGTCTGTCGGGACATTCGAGTATATTTCTGCATGTATGTAAGTGTTCCAACCCAATATGAATCTGAACTAAGTGTAGCTAATGTAACATTTAAGCAACGCCATAAAAAATAACTGTAAAATATATTGACGATTTAGTTTAAAGCAAGACATATACTCCATAAATGAATTATAAATGTATGTTACGATTAAGCACTCAAAAAGATATGGAAAATGTCCCTACCCTATCCCAATGAATACAAGGAATACAATAAAAAACAAGAACAAACTGAACAGCAACAACTGGAAGAACTCAACCAAATAAATCCATATAAATTTCAATGAAAAAGAAACGGCATTTCATTTTTCTGGCATTTTCTCGTGCTGCTCATAATTCTTTTTCAGTGTAAAAGCAAAGATATCCGTACAAGCCCCCAAAAATTCACAATGCAATGTTGCTTGTGTCTTCTTGCAGCAAAGGCCCCAAGGCCAAAGGCAAGGCAAGTAGCCTTTTCAAATTGTGCACTCAAATGGACACAGCGAGGACAAGCAACAACACGGCGTATGAGTAATTTCTGTATGTGTGTGTTTGTCTGTAAGCATAGCACAACGTCCCTTATATTTGGCTTTCCTCATTTTCCCTTGACGATTTCTTTTTTTTTGGCAAACGTTTGCATGTGCAGCGAACCGTAGATCTAAAAGAAATAGGACGACATCAGGAGACATCACATGGATTTGTGGCTTGGCAATGGCAACGGTCATGTTTGACAAGCTCCCAGACTCCTTACTGACTTCGTTCTGGCCCTGCACTTTTCTACTTCCTTCAAAGTACTTTGCGATACTTTGTTTCGCTCGGTCCAAAATTAAAAAGCACAGACACACACATTTGTGCCTCTAGTCCCGGGAATTGCGAAAAAGGACAAGGAGACAAAATAGAGATTTCAAGGCGGACAACAAATGAAGCTGCAGCCCAAATTTAACGAGCCCTTACAGAGTTACACGTAAAAAAATGCGTCGTACATCTCTATAAAAATGCTTTCCAAACCAGCTTTATGTTCGATCCGTTTAGAGGGACTACTTATATAAAAATTTTAAAAATATATAGTTTCTATTCTTTAAGATAATTATTTTGAAAAGTGTGGAATGTGACAAAGTTAGAGTCGGGCAGTGCCTCGTATGTCACTTTGTAGTCTGACATCCAATAGAGATCCCTTCCGGAGTAATTTATGTGCCGCCTTTTATCGGACAGAACATGACGTTCTTTCTTGGCGTCCCAGGCAGTTTTGCCAAAATTAAAAGAAAAATTGAAAAGTACGCTCAATTAAACTCAGTTTTAAAGCATTTTTTATTGAAAGTTATAAAAAAGACAAGGCAATGCTAACGTGAAAAAACTTAAATTGAAATTCAATATTTATTGTATATGAATTTTTTTTAAAACACATTTGTACACGCCATCGATCCATTCTCAACGGATATGGCAGGGACTTCAATCATGCTCCCCAGGGGGACTGGCTGGTGCTTGAAAACCCCTTCAACTGGTTCCTCTTCTGCGCTTTTGTACCCATAATCCATTGTTATCTGCTGGCCATTTGTTATGCGCAAACCAAGCACCGAACACCGTTCAGCCCGGCAACCAGGTCAGTTTATCCTGGCCAAAGAGATCCTGCAGGGAGGACGGATATTTGTTGGACAACCATTCATCAGAATCGGGGCGCATAATGCAGGCATATTTATAACCTTTGACGGAGCATCCACAAAGCAAGCGAAACGCAGTCAGGCAATCCTTAATCGCTCTCACAGGCCCGCACTCCCAAGCACTGTTTATAATTATTGCACTTGGGAACCAAATGGGACTTGGCACATGTGAGCTGCATCTGAGCATTACGACGGCAGGCAAAACAATCTCATTACCATTACTTTTTAGATGCTTCAAACTTTCAATCAATTTCCCTGGCAATATCCGTCGAAAAACTTGACAGAGCTTGGGGAGCTCGAGGAGTCTCAAGCACTCGTCGCTCCTCCTAGATATTGGAGCCATTGTTGTAGCCTCTTTATACTCTCTGTTTTCTGGGGTATTGGGTATTTAGAATTTGGTAACAAACTTAGAGTTTTTGTAAAACTAATTGTCGTAAATATAAAAGCATGCCAAGAAATATTAATAATACTATCTACTTATTATACTGTCCTCATCATAATAACTATTTCTGCAACCACAATAAGGTATATAGGTAGTCGTATCTTTGGATCAACATTCCTCGGTCCTGTTGCTGTGCTGATGGCGCTTTGCGATGGCAGCGTCGCCCAAGTTGACAGCATTGTTTTGCGCCATGACGCAGCTGATGCTACAGGAATTGCTTGCTTTGAAGTAAACAAGCAATTTTGCAAAAGAAAGCAACCCGCTCCGCCAGTTCTTCGCCCTGCATCGTCTTGCTTCCCCAATCCTGAATCCTGCATCTTCCATCCCCCAAAACGTACTCGCATGCATAACTTGGAGCTTGCTCAGCCTCTTTGCTGTCAGCTGTCAATGCACTCGACGCGTCTGGTCCCCGGTCCTCATTTCCCAGCCTTTCTCCCCAACCCCAATTGTGCAACCCCTGCTTCTCCTCGCAGCATGCTGCATTTTTTATGCTGCGCTGCACTTTGACTTGCCGGGGCTTTGTTTGCTCGTTCGATACTTGTAGACCGTCTTATCAGGGGCGAGTGTTATTTTTTGCATCTCCGCTCCTCCCGATGACGACTCTGTCAGCAACATTATCGTGAACGGCGAAGTTTCGGCCTTCTCCCAGATTTGGTATTAAAATGTCTTTGAAGTCTTTGGCTTGTCGTTGTCTAGCTGCGGCATAATTAACAAATATTTCACATGTGTGTTTGGTTGCAGGACGAGGAACAGAAGCCACTGTACAGTACTGGACGAAAATCCAGCAGCTCACATGACAAATGTTTGCCAATAAATTACAGTTACGCCTGCAATAAATATTCAAATAGCTGGGTCCAGTCTAGAGAAATGCCAGGCAACCCCAAAAATGGTCACAGCAGCACAACTGCTAACTAATGATCTATTAGCCAAGGACTTGTATCCTGTTTGCAATCCCCTCCTCGCCAATGAGTGTGTGGTTGGGTGTGTGTTTCTCATATCCGGTGCTCGTCTTATTAGTTCCCAAAAGCGACCACGTTTGACTTTTATTACACTCACTGTGTCAGTCGTTGCAAAAGTAGTTTTCTGACACAGAAAACATTTATCTTGCTTTGCCCGGTTTTCGGGTATCCACCGGATGTTGACTAACTTACAAATGAGCTGGGTATTCAATTTGTCTAAACTGATGCAAATATGATTGAACACATTTGTTAGCGTCCAAATGGGAAAAGAATCTCCCGGCGGATGGAAGCCAATTTTAGAAAAGGGGAAGACGAAAGTTCAGATACAGATTTGCTTATTATTTGAAAAGGAGTAAATTTCATTTTTGCAGCAAAGTTGTTTTTGAAAATGTTGGAGCCTGTATATATTTTAATAAAAAAATTTAAAATATTGTACTTTTTTAATCAATTCTTGAGGCTTCTTTTGAGTTTAATCAGTTTGAAACATTTCAGTTTCAATATTTAAACTTATAATTCTATATTGCAACTAGAAAAAGCAATCAGACATAACAAACTCAGCTTTCACCAAACTTCCACTTTTAAGTGAATCAATTGTGTTTCCCTCATCATCAAAATCTTTCAAAGCGCAATTGGCAGCAGCACTAGCTTACCACCTTTGCCAAACTTTGCAAGCCCGAAAACTTAAACTGCCATCTGGATGCCATTTATCGCAGAGCCAGGGAAAAGTGTCTAATGCGCGTTTTGGCGACACTTTTTATACGGACAATGGCAATAGGAATAGGAAGCGGCGACCAGAGCGAAACAAAACTGCAAACCCAACTAAAAACTCGGCGGCAGCCCAAAAGTATTTCCCAAAAAGAGTTTTGGCTTGCAGTCGAAGCTGAAACAAAAGTTTATGAGCGCAAAACATTTTATTGCGCTCCTAAGAAGCTGCACAGCACATTTCGTATACGCCACGTTGTGCGAAATGGAGTAGGACACCGAAGCAGGGAGCAGGCGAGCCAGCCAGCTACTCCCAAGGCCCAAGTAAAATATGAAATATATTTCAACTTTTGCACACACCGAAATATGTGCGGCATTGCTGGTTTCGGGGGGGCGGTAATAAAGCGGTGTGGTGGTGGTGGCGGGGCAGCTGCAAATATGCGGCCAAGTCGCTGCCTGGAACAAACCTTAAGCATCTGGGGCATGCTACAAACGAGAAGAAAGAATGCCAGGAGAACAAAAAGAAAAAAAATAACAGAAAAAAAACTAAAATAACACAAAAACACCCACGGAGAGAACTCCACTTCGCCCAGCTAACAAAATATGCCATGACACAAATACGGCATGACCCACCGAGGTGGAAACGCTTGCAATGCCAGTGGAATCCGAAATCCAAGTCCGAGACCAAGACCAGGTAAAAGCATGCGGGGTGGCGATTGCATTTCAAGGCCGTTCCGGCCAAATGGAAAATTATTTGCTCCCTGTCATTATTTTTCCTTAGCTCAGCTTTGGCTTACCCTGAGTGCGTTTCGTGCCGATGTCAGCCAACCTGTTCAAGGTCTTGGCTTGTTCTATTATTTATTTTAACAAAACGAGTTTTCTCTATTTTTGATAATTTTTAAACATTTTTAAACAATTGTTTAGGAATTGAGGATGAGTTTTACGAGTACTCTGCCTATTTACTAGATTCATATAAGATTCTTTAAAAGAATCAAATTCGAATATATAATAATAATACGATTATGTCCAAGCGTATGACCGCTTTATAAATGACATTATTCTGCACTTTGAGTTTTGGCTTCACTTCGAAAAGTATTATCTCAATAAACCATCAGGAACATAACCCACGCTCATTTTAACAACTGAATGGTAAATCATGTTTAACATTTATGAGCTGTCGCGCCTACTTT